GAAGAGCTGGGGCCAGACAACCCTTTCTCTGCTGGAAGCCGAGGGCACCTGTGGGTGCTGGTCCTTCCTGGACTCTTCTTGCAGAGCAGAACCAGGCCGGGACCTGGCCCGCAGGGCGCCATCAGGGAATCGGTGCGGAGCAGACAGGCAGAGCACGACCAGTCCCGCCCCAGGACCCCCAACAAACCCATCGGGCCCAGCCGCTGGCAGCGACCTACCATGAAAGAGTTGTACGGCGCTGCCCCCGAGACGCTGCTGGGCGGCGGCGGCACCGCGTTGGAGGAAGCCGGGAAGAGCCCGACCGCAGCCAAGTTCAGGCCGGGGATCAGGTGAGACTGTAGCTGAGAAAACAAGAGGCGGCCGGGGGGGAGAGGGAGGGGGACACAGGGGCGCGTTGTGATTTGGATCCCAGCAGCAACGACCGCGGCCCCCAACTGGGATGGGAGACCCCTCATGCCAGGCGCTGTCAGTGTGGCTGCGCCCCTGGGTGGGTGGTGGGCATCCGGGACTGAGCATCTGGCCCACGCACAGCCCCCCAGACTCCGGACTTCCCGCCTTCTTCCTAGCCACGTTCGAAACGCAAGTCTGTCTGGCTGTGGGTCTGCTGGTTCAAGAGCACCTCCAAAATGGTGAGAGCGAGGCTTCCTCTCCTAACTCACAGCAGAGCTGGGGTGTGGGATGTGTATGGAATTCAATTATTTTTCATAAAATGGATGGGGAGGGGTCTGATAGCAGGCACAGTTACACTGCAGACCGACCACCAGGGGGCAGCAAGGGGCCAGACATGGGGACCAGGACTGCAATAACCCCATTGGGCCAGCAGGGCGGCAGGCGCAGAGAAAGGGACATCTAGCTACTGTGTATTTCAGAGAGTTTGTCTGTCTGTCTGTCTGTCCTCGCACAGGGAGGGATGCACCCTTCCCCCGGCCGCAGAGAGGCGCTTCTCACCTGGCCCCAAGCTGCTGCGGTGAGAGGGGGCTGGGGTTGTCCTCTCCCGCCCCGGGGCAGCCTGCAAACTGAACCACCCCCCACCCCCGAGCAAGGACTGAAATGAAAACCAAACGTTTTGAGTTAAGGACCTGAGCACCACTGGATAAACGGAGCCAGGCTAAAGGGGGGTGAGTCTCTACATCGGGGTGAGGAACCTCCTGCCCAGAGCCCGGATGTGGCCCTTGGCTTGCCAGGAACCGGCCCCCGAGGCTCAGGGCTCATCCCCAGCATTGGGGAGCCCATGCTGGTGCTCCAGGCCCCCTGCTGCCCCCGGGGGCTGGAACGCACAAGAACTCTGGGGTGGGAGGGGAAGTGGGGCGGGTCTTTCTCCTCCTCAGTCAGCGAGGGGTTGGTTTTTTCCTGCTTCTCACTTGGGTGCCCCCGACTGATATTTCTGTGGGTCAGCGGCCCCCCACCCAAGAAAGGTTCCCCACCCCCGCTCTCCGTGGACCGCCCCGCCGGGGACCAAGCTGCCAGAGCAACATACAGCACGGCTCCGTGTCCCCCCCCACCGCGGCCACAGCCCCGCTGCCCCCCAGCCAGGGCAGAGCGACCCGGGGGGAGGCGCCTGCTGCGCACTCACGCTCATGGCCGCCACGTCGTTCTCGTACGCTTCCCGCACTTTCTTCATGATCTCCTGCTCGGCGCGGCAGCAGTTCTCGATGGAGCCCTTCACCGTGATGGTCCTCTCGGGGTTGTAGAGGGTCAGGTCCTGCAGACTGGAGGCAGAGGGGAACCAGCCCAGGGAGGGGGAACGTCAGCGCCCCGACGCGGCCTGTGCTCCCCCCGGGGCCGGCTGGGGCGCCACTGACCCGGGGCCCGTCAAGGCGAGTGGCTGAGCTGCCGACACGCGGCCCCGGGCGTCAGGCCGAGACACGCAAAGGGAGCCACGGGGCC